CCACAAAGCTCACCTGTAGCAGATGATGTGCAGACACTTAATTGATCAGATTGTGGCACCAGAAAAATCCATTGCAGAATCAAATTTTCTGTGTGCTTATGCTCAGTCTATTGTGTGAATGAAGCAGACTTCCTCCAACTCTGCCTAGAATGGAAGAGGTAAAGGATGAACATGGAGGCTGGGGCTTGAAAGGCTTTTCAGAAGAGTTGATGCCTGAGCCAATGGATAAGAATGCAGTGGTCAGGTGGACAAGACAGGAGACAGCATGCAAAAGCATCTGGGAGACTTGGTGGATGCTTGACAAATGTTCATCGGCTATGGCTGTAGTGATAGTGAATTGGAAACAAAGCATTATGGAAATGCTAGATTTCTGGGTTTTGTAATAAATGTTTCATTAACATACATTTTGGGTGCCTTTGAACTTAACACGAAAATTTGTGTTCTTCTGAAACCATTTTAATACCTTCTACTTCTGTGTCTTCAAAGCTACTTACATAAACACATCAGTAAGGAGAATATGCAGTAACAGCTAGCTGATGCAAATCAGGGACATGCTGGGGGATTCAGGTCTAGCCTTCTCCACATTTGTACTCTCAGCCTTAAAATATTCCAATTTCATGTAAGAACTAATAGGAATGCTGGTGTTGCCAACGAGGGCTCAACCTATAGCCAGTTCACTTGGAAATAAGGTTAATGCTAGAATCAGCAAAAGTTCTTCAACAAAGGGCAGGCTTTTGTCTGATGTTGTTTCCTGAACATCTTCATTTACCTTTGAGCTTGTATATCTTAAAACTATTTCTCTCATGGCAATAATTTTCATAAGGAAATTTAAAATGGCTTTTTTTTTTGTCTGAAACTTGCCTTCCTCAAGGTTCTTGGGGTCCTACTATGTTCAAATATTCTGGTCTCAGCACATCTTCTGCAAGAAAGTTTGAATGCTACTTCTAGAGAAGCAAGAAATGGACCTCTTATTAAGAGCTCTAGGTATAAAAGAATATTTGCTCAAAGTTACTGAAGAAGCAGAAACAAATGTAATTGGTCATGCTGATTAGCCTTTCTTCCAGGGCTACCAAGTGAGGCATAAATTTATGACAAGAAATACTCCCAAATTTAGAGACAGCAGGACACTAAGGAAAAAAAATCAAACCATGATGAATTTACTACAACCTATCTGGTTTTGAAATTAGAATATGCTTTCAAGTGTGAAGTGCTAATGGCTTTCTCGGTTTGTCTGGAAGTCATTCTAAGTTGTAATTGATAAAAGATAAGACATAATCTTAAAAACATAATCAAAATTAATAAAAATACACAAAGAAGGTAATTTACATGAAGCTTAGAAAATGGTGAATTGGAGGACAGCGGTGTGTCTCCACTCCTCATCTAAGAAAAAAGTTACCGATTCTACCCCCAGTTACCAGAACAGACCAGTTACCAGACAAGCTTGATCGATCAGATACATCCTCAAAGAGCACCCTCCTTCCTCTGCTCTAACTCTACTATGACATTTGGTCTCCAGAGTATATCAGCCACCTAGAGAGAGAACAGGAATGGTACAGATCATAGGGCTCCTTTTAAATCCAACACTAGCATTCTGGTTTTCAGACGTGGCTCTTCTGAGTTTGGTTAGTATAACTCAACTCCCCCCCAAATTATCCTTCCTCAGTGAACTGACAAATTGAATTTTGGAGCCTGTGAAGCTGAGGCCCAGTCTCTGGACCACAGCGACTTCACCCAGTGCTGCCAGCACGGCATGACAGAGCCAGCTGGCCTGGGGACCTATGCTGCAGAAGAAGGGAGGTGCTGGCCAGCACTCAGAGGCAGCCTGAACCCTGCCCCTTGTCCCATCACATGGGGATGATAGTTTATGAGGGAATTAGGTGCAAGTTTTCCTTGCAGACTTTTTCAGGGCAGATGCCTAGCATAAGGGTTCTCAATGGTGACCGAGAGTTTCCGGCACCCCTAGAAGGCACAATTTAGTGAACTGGCTGCCGTGGAGCAGCTGAGCCCTGGAGGCAATCTGCTTGAGACTTTAGTTATGCTTTGGAGACACCAGTGAGCCCTAGAAATGTGCAATGAATTATATAGAGAGCGACAGCTACCTCCTATTCTCCTCCCTTTGATAACCAGATTCACTGCTTCTGCCATTTAGCATGTGATTCCTCACAGAGGCTCAGGACAATGCTATTTCTTAAAGATTTCCTGCATACTTCAAAAACTATGTCACACTTTATAGAGAGGGAGGACGTCTTTATATCTTCTAATACCAATTCACAGTCAAATTTTCCCAGTTTTTCTAAGAATGTCCTTTGCACCATTGACCAACCTAGGATGTTATATTGTACCAGGTTGTTATAGCCCTAAATCTCTTATTAAGAAGAGTCCTTGTTTTTTAAAAAGATCCAGCCAATTACCCCATAAAATAACTCACCTTCTGTATTAATGTGCCTGCTTCCTTGAGGTCCCATTTATCTTGTGGTTTGTGTTTTGTGCACACCCTAAAGCCTCAATTAGATTCAAGTCCAAAGGGAAAAATATATATATATAGGGAGCGATGTTGAATACTTTGTGTTGTCTTGCATCCCAAAACAATGTTGTCCTGGCATCAGTGGTACTAAGTCTGAGCACTGGATTAAAATGGTGGTCTTCTGGATTTCCCCCATGGACACTGTTCCTCCTGTGACTGCAATAAGGAGTCTATATGGTGGTGCCCTGGTCCCTATCAACAATTCATCTATTTTATCAACAGTTGCTAATCCTTGCCCCAATCAGTAATTTCCCTCTAGCATCTCCTTTTCCACAGTCAGCAGGTCTTATGCTGCATGCTCTCCAGTTATGATATGAAGCAAGACATTAGCTTCTTGATCCTAATTTCCTCGTCTGTAAAAACGAGGCTGGAAATAGAATCAATCCCCGTGGTCACGGCACCATCACACAGGATAACTCTGTATACAGGTTTTGCCTGGAGCCTGTGCCACAGATGCTTAAATCAGCATTTCCCAAGGTGTGCTCTAAGAATTGATGGTCCCTCGGTGTTCTCTACAGGAGAAGGGTCCACTGTTAAAATGATGTCTAGGAAACATTTGTGCATATTATCTAATTAAAGTTTCTGGAAGTTTTCTCAGGAAAGAAATCTGCTTCACTTTGTTTAATCAAGTGCTTTCTAATTTATTTGCACTCCTTCTCCTCAACCCTGCTTTTTAAAGCCAAGTAACACATATAAACTTTACATTAAATTGCCTTAAATTCTTCCAAAAGCTTCAACGGGGAGAGCATCAAACTGATGAGCCAGCCACCTGTGGAGTGTTGAAAAGTGTCTATACTGGCCTTTGAGTCCTGAAAAAGCCACGCAAGTTAGAAGAGTTCTTAGGAGATTTAAATTTTTTTGTTGTGGCAAGAAAGGCAGAAATTGGGAGCTGGGCAGTAATTCCAGAGACAATATGTTTTCCCTAGATTTCCGCCAAAGTTCACCAGGACTTCTACAGAAGCTCAGAATGCTTATAAGTGTCCCATAGCAACTAGGACTTGCCTAGGCTGACCATGAGTGAGTCCCTTGGACCAATGCCCAGAGACTGGAGTGCAAAGAGGGCATCTTGGTTCAGTGGAAGAGCAGAGGATCTGGAGCCAGAACAAGTGTCAATGGTCTTAGATCTTCCAGGTATTTGCCATGAAACCTGGGAAAATCCCTTAATCTCTCTGAACCTCAGTTTCTTCATCTATGTAATTGGTGCAATTAAACTGTTTAGCTCAATGGTTATGAACCTTTCATTAGATACATTAGCATTTTTAAAACTATGAAGTGCTAGTAAGACAAATTTCAATGTTGAGAGTATTCTTACTGATCCATTTTTGGGGTTCTCCCACCTCATCTAATATTTTTTGAACACTTACTATGTACCAAGCAGTGGGGTAGGTGCCTATACAGAATATAGAAGAAAGCAGCTCTATACCCTGAATTCATGGAGCTCACACTTCATGGTGGGAGACAGAGGATAAACACACACACAAATGATTTGGTGTTTCAATGATTATAGTCCCTTCCTCCCAGGTACTGATGTGATATTTTTTGAATGTGCATCTCACTTACAATCCACTGTAAGTAGATGCATTTCAAGATAATATTCACAGACAGTTCTCATATATTAAATGAATTTGTCAGTTTCAGTAAAAAATAAGGAATTTACCCATAATGATAGTGTGTGTGTGTGTGTGTGTGTGTGTGTGTGCAGTGTGTGACCAGAGGTATTGAGGCAGGGTCAGAAAGCAGACTTCTCTTCCCTGTTCAGAGCCTCCCTCTTGCTGGGTTCCATCTGAAAAGCACCATCAGAGTGCTCCTGTTTTAATCATGTGTTATAATCACATATATGATGGAGCACAATTGATTCTCCCAAACTGTGTTCCACGAAAAATTAAAATTTCACTAGATGTCAATAAGTCATCACTTTAAGCTTCTTGGTCTGATTACTTTAGGAACCCTGCATCAGCCTCCGTCTCCACTTTAGAGATCCATAAAAGTATATTGTGATTGTTAAAACATTATTCCTACAGTGAGGAAACCCTGTGAACTCATACCACCTGGCATTTCCCAAACTTACGTGACTACAGAATTCTTTTAAATTCTTGAACAGTGAATGTGAATGTGCTGAATGGAAAGTGCAGCCTTACCATTAACTTGATTTTCTTCTTGCTAAAGTTTGTGAAAGCCTGGTAGTGCTCATTAACCCAAATTCAACCATGCAACTTTTTAAAAAAGCAGCTTCCTGGGCTTTAGGGCCTCAGGCAGACCCTGGATGTGTTATGTTGTGTTGTGTAGGGGCAACAGCTAGGGGGATGTGTTTCCTTAAGCTGACCATGTCCTTTTAACCAGGGACCAGCATGGAAACAATAGAAGCTTAACGAATATGTTTCCATACCTCTTTGGAGGAAAACAATCCTCTTTATTTTTTTTTTTAATGATCGTTTTTCAAACCTTCTAAAAATTATTGTTGTTATTATTTCTTTAGGCATTCACGGGCCCAGAGTTCTCCAAATGGGTTTGGTGTCTTCGAAAGACCTACGAATAAGGTAGCTGGACATTTTGATTCTGAAATAACTGCATGTCCTTCCTTCAGACTCGACCATGTCCATGGGCAGGAGACCTGTCCGTGGCTGCTTGGCTGGGCCATCCAAACATGAAACTCTTAATGATATTTTGAAGTCTTTGAGACAAAAGCCCAGCCTGCTAAAGAACTTTGGTTCAGTAGAGAGACAGGGAGGTACAGGCAAGAGAGAATCAAAAGCCTGGAAATTCGCTGCTGAGAATAAATGCTCACTGCTCCCTGAGGTGATTTGTCTGAGCACTCCACTCTACAGATGGTAGAGCCTCTTTCTGAGTAAGGACCCGAGGTTCTTTGGTAGCACTTTGATATCCTGCTCGAATTCAATATGTGAAATGGAGGCGTCTCTCTGTGACTTGGAGCCCACAGCAGGCTTTGAAGTCTGATCCAATTTTTGCTGCCTACTATTTGATGTTGAAAGGATGAAATGAAGAAAATGTACAGTTTTTGCCAGTAACTCTGCTGAGCATATGTAAGATTAAAAAAACAAAATCCTTTGGATGATGTACTTAGAAATGTTAAGTAGATTAATACCTTCCTATAGGTTTTCTTGTTTCTTTCTTAAGGATAAAAATTAAGTAAAGGTGAAAATCAGCACATAGCTGTTTTTTCTGTTCTGGACTATAATTAATTTAAGAAGGGGGCTAGGTTGACTTGTGCAGAAGATGCACTAAATTAATGAAGAAAAAGCATTGAGACTTTGCTTCTAATTGCCCCTAGGAGGGGACCTTCATTCAATTCTATGCAAGACAGGGGTAGCTTACAAATAGCACCAATATACTTAGCTTCTTCCCACGATGGTCAGGGTTAAGGGTCCCTTAGTTTAATGGAAGCCATGTCCTTAAGGCTGCTTTATCAGAAGATAAAAAATAATGTTTCTCTCACTGGGTCTTTCTGAAGAATTCAGTGGCTGGGACTAATGCACTGACTTCTTGGACACATCGTGCTACCCCAGATCACCAAGAACTGAGTCCCTGTGAAGCTCCTTGGAAACCTGGTAAGAAGGATATTTCAACTGCATGTTTCTCCTACCATTTGCATGTTTGTGTACTTCTTAGTGAGTTGTTTGTGCAGGACCTTCTACAAGACAGGACTCAATTGGATATTCTAATGACCTATTGTTAGAAAGTTCAGGTTTGGGAGGCTGTAAAGCCTGAAATCAAAAACCCTATTAAAGGTGGAAGTTTAGTGCCTCCTCCTGCCACCCTACAGTTACATTTCCCAGGGAAGAAATGAATATCTAAGGCCATACTTTTCCCTTTATTTGCAAGAATCTCAAATTAGAAAACTTCCCCAACTTCACCTTGTTCAAGGAAAGAAATTAACAGCCTTCAGTGGAATAGGTCCTTCAGGGTCACAATCTGGAGCTTGGGAAAGGATGTGGATTTAGGCAGCACTTCTGTACTTTGGGGAAACACGACCATTCTTTCAGGTTGCCAGAGACTGTCCTTAGCCAGTACTTCTCAAATTGTTTTGAAAGACCATTTTTCCCAATCATTTTCCAATTTGCAGTGTGATACTTTTATGAGACACAACAAAAATAAATCACCAGAAAAACAGTCATGCACTTGGATATTGTGCCAATAGCAAATTGGTCTCAACTTCTCTAAATCTCTGACTCTACCCCAACTCATTCTTTACTGAACTTTCTTTACTAATCTTGGTGGGGACCAGTAACAGGAGCCAGCCTGCCGACCACATGACCACAAGTCAGTGAGCAACACAGGCACATTCCTGTTCACAAGATGCCATAGGCTAGCAGAGAGAAACAGGAAACAGCATGCATGATTTAAAAATGAAATAAAATAAAGAAGTCAGTGGAGTATTGGGGTAAGCACAGCAAGGGTGGTGAGGAGAAGCCCAAGTATGCAGGGTGGGGCTGGGGGTGGTTGTTCCTTAAATAGATGGTCTGGGTGGCTTCTCTGCAGATTCCAGGTTTGAAGGCTTGAAGCTAGAAGAGCTCTCCAGGCAGGGAAACAGCCCGGGCAAAGCCCTGAGAGAGCAGGCAGGAGGGTAGAGAGGCGCCTCTATGATTGGAGCTGAGAGAGGAGAGGAGAGGAGAGTTGTAGGAAATGAGGAGCCAGACCACAGAGGGCAGCTCTTCAGAATCCTAGCCCCACCCTGGGAATCTGGTTAAAATGAAGTCTCTGAATCTGCAGCTCTGCAGGGCTCTGACATTCTGCAACTCTCAGGAGCTTCCTGTGGGCTGCCTTTTTGGTCCCTGGTCCACATTTTGAGTCCACATTTGAGGGTGTCATCTCAGGGAAGGGGCTAGGCAGCACTTCTAGCACAGGAGGAGAATCATTCCAATTGTGTTTTGCTTTTGTTTTTTGTTTAACTTAAAAACAAAACAAAACAAAAAAAACAAAACCCTTCTTCTTCTTAGTTATATACACCAGGATCACAAAAGCGAGGAACACAACCTGCTCCAATTCCATTCCCCAGCACCCACCCTTCCCACCCCTCCACTGATCCCTCTTGAATCCATTTACAGTTTACTTTTTTTTTTTTAATTAGCGTTCTGTGCACACACCTGATCCAGGACCCACCGCGCCACACCCATGCATGCTCATGAGAAAACTCGGTCAGATTCATTCCACTGTTTTCCCTGTCTCTTCTTTGTCCCCTTCAAATCCGATACTGATCTTTCCTCTCCTTTGATGAAATTCCCTCTCTCTTTTTTGTCCTTTCTCTCTTTCTTTATTTTTGTTGTTGTTTTCTGTTTTTTTTTTGTTGTTGTTGTTTGTTTGTTTTTAAGCAAGCCCTCCAGATTTGGGCTTAAGGATCAGTGGTAGATGTCATCAAGGAATGAGACAGTCTGCATGAGAGCCTTTTCCAGACAAAGAAACTTTCTAAAACCTGTAACGGCCTTTCACACTGAGTGTACCAAACACCATTCTCAGTGTCTCGGGATCTGATTATTAACAATTACCACACTGGGCTGTGATGCAGAGAAACGGCCAGAGACCATCATGAAATGGGGCCACCTGCCCTTAAATTAAATGACCCTCAGTCCTTAGGATTTTTAGTTAATGTGCTGATTCCATCTTTTCTTTCTTCTCTCTCAACACAAAAACGATGTTCCTTGCCATTGTTAATGTACTTTTCTTCCCTTCTTTCTTCCTTGCCCTTCTTTGCTGTGGTCTAAAAAACAGGGTTGAACCATTTTTTTTTTCCTTCTGCAGTAAGATAAATGGGTGTGAGTGGAGGATCTGAGGAAATCCTGCAGGAGTAGGACCTCCCACACAGGAGAGACCTGCTGCAGGCACCAGGGGCTTTGCTCCCATTTTCAGGCTTTAGTTTAACTCTGGGGACTCTGCCCACCCAGGTTCCCTGTGTACCTCACGTGAGGGAAGTGTTCTCTTGCTATCTTCTCATCTACAAGGAATCTATTTTAACTGTAGTTCTTTTTAAGGTCACAAGATCATTGTCCCTGTTAGGAGTAACTGCAATGACATCACACCTTCAATTTTATTTTATTTTTTTAATTTTTTAGTTGTAGATAGACACTTCCTTTATTTGTTTTTATGTGATTGAACCCAGTGCCTCACACGTGCTAGGCAAGCACTCAGCCACTGAGCCATAACTCCAGCCCACACCTTCAATTTTTAGGGTGCTGAGGAGCACATGGCACTGTGCCAGCCTACAGGGGTATCGGTGGCAGTGTGCAGCCTTGGGGTCTAGCAGAGCCACCAGAGAGCATCCAGGGCCTGGCCTCGGTCTTTGGTGATCTGATTTCAGAGCTTCCCTGGCCTGTCCACTGAACAGCTGCCAAGGAAATCATTCACATTCTTTCCCCAGCTTCTCCCTTAGCACCAGCTACTTCATTATTTTTCTTTACCTTTCTGGTTGCTTATCACTAAATACTTCTCACCCTTGGCAGCATTTCAGCTATCAGAAAGCAAACTTGAGCTGCATTTTATCCCTAAAGCCCTTAATCCTTAGGGTAACCAAACATCTCAATTTTCCTAGGACTGAAGGATTCTAAGAAACGGAGTCCCAGGTAAGGGACAGCGCCAGGCAAACTGGGACAAGTTGGTCACGCTATGATGATACTGGAGATTAAGCTTGGTTTGGGCAGGAACTTTTTTCTAAATTAGATCCTCCTATCAGGCAAGACTCTGCCTTAGATCCACACTACAGAGTCACCCACCCTGGCGCCTATGCGTGGAAGGGGCTGCAAGCGGCTTGTTAGACAACACTGTGCTCATCAAGGGCTCAGATGTCTCTGTTTGACAGGGAGAGTATGTTCCTACGACTTCGTCTCAGAGACCACATAATCTCTCTCGGGAAAGCACAAAGAAACCAGACCCCGAGTGGAGGAAAGCCTTCTGGACCTTTCTGTCCCATACCCACTTCCATTCCTGAATGCCACATACAAGTCAGCAAGCCCACTGTGTCTTCACTTATGGGTCATCTCTGCGGTTCTGAATTCTTGTTCTTTTTGGCATTGTTGGGCTAAGAACATCTTTTCTTTTTACCCGAACAACATTGAATTTACCTTAAACCCTCATCAGTAAGACTTGGTAAGACTGGAGTGAGGCTCAGTGGTAGAGTGTGTGTGTTTGAGTAGATAAGGCCCTGGGTTCCCTCCCCAGCACCAAAAAGAAAACATATACATGTGCATGTGTGTGCACACACATATATTAAACAAACACATCAAATTTGGTAAAGTCTCAGTGTCAGAGTTTTCTCAGTGAGATGGCAAAGGAAGTACAGGAATTGGATTCTGACTTTTAGCATGCACAGTGGGAAAAATGTCCCTTCTAAAAGGATCTTTTAAGACCAGTGTTTCTCAACCATCAGCAGAAACCGTAATCACCCAAAGGATGTGTTTGATTGCTGAATTCATCTTATAGTTTCTGACCTGGGGGGTTGGGGAGGGATCTGCATTTTTGTCAAGTTCCACAGAGACTTTCCTTTGAGAACTCTTGCTCTGAGTGTTCCATCTGTATGAGACTACATTGACTCAAAGTAGGCATTACACATGTGGTTTTCTACTCAATCATTCAACAAACATTTATTGAGCACCTACTCTATATGTCAACCACAGAACCAGAAAGTGTAAGAAGACACTTAGGAGACAAATGCTATTCAAATATGTTGGTCTTTGCCACTGTTATTTTCTAGACCAGGTTTGAAGACTCACTGAGTATCTTCACTTATTTTAATAGGTCACATTAAATTCTCAGGAAGTTGTCAAGGACAGGGTTACATTTACTTATAACTTTACATACTGGAGACAAAAGGGAGTATTCTTCACTCCCTTCTAAGAAGTTGATATTCAATTTCTAAAACTATTAGGAATTATCACTCTAAAGGTTATTTTGAGTTTATAAACTATAGCATCAGTGCTAACCTGGCCTTCTCCTGCATGGCAAAATTCCTCTAAAACTCACCTCTCTGAATTTTTTCACGAACCTCTAACATAGGCATCATTGCCATGATACTTGTGCTCTGGATATTTTGCAAAAGACAGGAAGGAGGCTAGTGTAGGGAAGTATACTTCAGAGCTCATGGCCATGAGGGGAAAGGTGGAAGGAGAAGGAAGACAGGGGAGTTCTACAAGTCCCAGATTCAATTTAGCCCCGTTTCTATTAATCATGCACCTTTCCTATTTTGCTTAAGACTTTTCTCATTTTTACTAGATCCGGGGTTTTCATTTGTCTGATTCTGTTTTGCTTTATTTTTGACACCAGCAGAGCGCTTGGGACATCAGTTGTCATCCTGGTAGCTAATTCCAGTCCTAGGACTCTACCCCAAACTGGGGCTCTTTAGATACCCACCAAGAGGAAAAGATTTATCATGTATTTCCATAGTCTTTGAAATTTGAGGGACGTTGTCCGAGAAGGTTGGGGCTGCACCCACCGGCTCCTGAGTCAGCTGAGCTGATAGTGAGATGCTAACTCTGGAGAAGGAATTGGAGGCTAGAAGGAGAAGTGGCCACAGCTGTGGCAGTTAGAAGGCACAGAGGGAAGTCCTATTCCAGGCCACCAT